AACAGACGTCAAGAACAAAGCTATTTTGTCGTCAGTTGTCTACTTATTGTCTGTCGTCGTCTTTGCCAGTTTGTGATAGCTGCCGGTATGTTTGTGACTTCCCCTATCCGTTTGTTTCTAGTATGTCATGCGCACTATCTAACCTACTAGGTGATTTACGTCTTTGTTTTTCAGCCTGTTAAGAAATATTTTGAATTAACGATCTACTGCTCCGAGTTGATCAGTTGATACGATGCTTATAACGTGTCATTTGTTTAGTCACATGATTACTCAGTTTCTTGTATTTGTAAATTCAGCTTGCTTTGATGTACGTCATGTTTCGTAGTTCATAGAGAAATTTTCAGTTGATTTTCGAAAGCAATCCGGAAATGCACTGGTTTTGCCGTATTCTGCTCTGTGATTGGTCTGGAAAACTCGCGCCGCTCTTTCAGCCAATCACGTACAAAAATAACCACGACTTGGTCGCCTGCGTTTTCCTGCGCTTTATGGCGGTTTTTTTTTTAATTTGAGTTCTCATTGGATCTTCAATGTTTTTTCCTTCCTTCTGATTGGCTGTTGAAATTACTTTGGTTTTGGTTTTACGACACTCAATCGAAAAGCGCTCTTAGGTGTGCAGGGTGTTAGGAAAATGAATGTAGTTCTCCATTAAATCAGTCGGTCATAACGCGGAAGTCCTTCTGTCAGTTAAAAGGGAGTCAGTCAACCATCGTGTTATTTAATCGTCGTTCTAAATTAATTTCTTTTAGTCAACAAAGTGGCAAGTCATTTAGCGATAAAAGTAATCAACGAGAATTCAATAAACAGGCTAATTGTTCGTTCTGTTTGCCATAGGATCGGTCATTCGCCAGATCATAGAGTCAGCTAAATTCAACTAGTTCGCTTTTTTTAAAGTTGGTCGTTAACTCATGAATGAGACAGACAGTCTGTAAGTCAATGCGCTGGATAAGAATCTCACTACGCAGTAATTCAGTCGGTCAGTCCATCGATGAGTGTGTCAGTTAGTCAGTAAGCCAGCCTATTATCTGATTGATGGTTGTTATTTGAGTTTTCCGTCATAAGCTTGTTAGTCATTCAGTAATTGAGCCAGTAATTTGATTTTGTCAGCCTGTCAATAATTTGGTTGAGTAATTATTCTGCTCTCAAAACGATCAGTCAAGTTGTATGTGCCTGTCGGTTGATTAGTCAGTATAGTTAGTTATTCAGGCAGTCAGTCAGTCGTTTCATACATCTCTGTGTTTGTTTGTCTGTCAGAGAGTGAGTTAGTGGTTTAGTGAGCCATTCATTCAGTCGGTTAGTCAGTCAGTCAGTCAGTCATTCAGTTAGTCACCCGTGCTGCGCGTCCTCCTGTTTATCTGTCTGTAGGTGAGTCAGTCAGTTAGTTAATCAGTTATTGTAAAGAGTTTCAAAGCTGACGTTTCGAGCGTTAGTCCTTCTTCTTTCTCTCTGACAAAGGGCTAACGCTCGGAACGTCAGCTTTAAAACTCTTTACGGAGGCCAATTTACATTCATGATCAACTCAGTTGACAAATCCAAATCCAAATTATATCGTTCACCTATCTACCTCACACAGCACCACGGTTTCTTTTGAAAACTTACTCCCTTCTTTCAGTGAGTTAGTTAGTCTGTGTGTCCACCAGTCAGTTTGTGAGTCCTTAAGTCAGCAAGTTAGTCCGGGTGAAGGAGACAGTCAGTGAGAACTGAATCAGTCACCAATTAATTATGTTAACTGGCTGATTGTTAGGTCAGTTCATTTAGTCACCGAGTCGATCAAACACGTCAGCATGTTCATTAATTAAGTCATTCGGTCGTTTCGTCACTCCATTATGTAGTCATTCCGCCATTCAATCAAGTCGTCATTCTGTTATTCTATCATTCCGTCATTCAAAACTACTATTATAGCGTCATTCAGTTATTCAGTAATTCAGCCAGTCTGTCGCTCACTTACTACCTCACACAGTCATTTAATCATTCAGTCATTCCGTCATTCAGCCAATCAGTAAGTCAATTGGCTTAAGTTAGTCAGTTATCTACCTATTTTGTTAGATAGTCAGAATTTACCATCAGTTTCCTAAGTCAGTCATAGCTGTTGATGTCATAAACTAGACAGTTATTTAGCTGATTACTCAGATATTGCTACGTTGATCAGCCACCGCCGGTTTGTCAGGTGTTACACGTGTCTTTTCAGAACAGTTGTTTTTCTTAACAACTCATGTTTAGGCAAAGAGTATGAATAGTTGAGAATGAAATGTCTTTCAAAACGTTTTTATTCTCAGTAATAAAATTCGAAAAAACTATACTAGTGAATGATATAAAGTATGTAAGTTGATAACTGCGTAAGGCTGTTTTCTTCCGTTTGGATGCTTTTTTTCGTTGTCTGTTTTTAGTTCCACAAAATGTTACAAATGCCTGTCAGTTCAAGCCGTTGTAGTCTGTATATATCTTTCTGTTGTTCTTTCAGTTCCTAAGTGTTTTTCTAGCAATTCTTGATAGACTTTTGCTTTTTAACTCTGTGTTTCTGTCTTTGTTATTGTCTTTGTCTGTTTTTTTTGTCTGTTTGTTTGTTTATCTGTTTGCCTTTGTTTGTTTGTCTCTGTTTCTGTCAGTCTGTTAGTCGGTCTGTCAATCAGTCGGTTGGTCGGTCGGTCTGTTAGTCCGTCGGTCTGTCAGTCCGTCGGTCTGTCGGTCTGTCAGTCTGTCAGTCTGTTGGTCGGACAGTCTATCCGAGTGACTGTTTGTGGGTTGGTTGGTTGTTTTTTTTTTTGTCTATTCGCCTGTATGTTGTCCGTTGGGCAGTTGTAACAATTCGTGCAGTTTCTAAGTGACGTTCGATAAGGCAGCGTTTGTCCATTTACTTGATAGTTAGTTTCAATTTTGTTGAACCAACAGATAACAAATGCATAAGATCAGGAGGAATTTCGTAGAATCACTAACTTAGCTATGAAGTCAATTTAAATGTCGTCTTACTGTCAGTACAGTGAGCAGCAGTACAGTGGCATTACGTAAGTGCAAAGTTGTCCATAATGTATAATATAATGTTGTCGCTGTAGGTAACCGGTCTGACGGTTAACTTCTATCTAAGTCTCTCTTTCTCTCTGCCTTTCTGTGTGTCTGTCTGTCGGTTTGTCGGACGGTCAGTCTGAACAATTACGTAGTTTTCTGATAAGGCAGTGAAAGTGAAGAGGTGAACGCTGAGTCAGTTAGTCAGTCAGTTTCTAGTCTAGAGACGTATCACTCAGTTGGTCATCTTAACGTCAATCTGTTAGTCTGTATCTCGGGTGGCGCATTATCGACATAACGAAAAGTCAGTTGACAGCCAGTCTGCCGACCAACCAGTCCGCCAGTTCAGAAAGTCAGTCAGACAGTGTGCGTCAGACAGTTCGACAGTTAGTCAGACAGTCGGTCAATCAGTCAGTCAGACAGTGTGCGTCAGACAGTTCGATAGTCAGTCAGACAGCCATTCAGATGTTTCTTATATTATTGTTTATAATTAAAAGTTAATCCGTCAATAGTCGGCTTATCATCCGGGCTATTCCTCGTTACTCAGTCGATTTACAGTTTGGCGATAACTCAAGTCTGTAAGCAACCGCGGGTGGTAAGTCATATATTGTCACCGTTAGTCTCCCTGTTAGGTTGTCAGTCGGATCTGATGTCGCTTATTTTTATGCGCTAATCGTGCGGTAAATGTGATTTTGCATGTCTGTTAATCGCTTACATGACACAATCACGACAGTTAGTCCATCTTAAAAATAATTGATTTAAGAATGAATATTCTATGTTGTCGACCACTGTTAGAGTATTGATGTCGTCATCTGCCATCGATATTATTTTAGAAAAAATAAAGAAATTTTGGTAATTCCTAACGGAAAAGCCATCAAGGAAAACAAGAAAAACTGATTAATTTGGCCATCTACATGTGGCTATTTACAAAACTACTTGTTTCGTTGTCAAAAATATTACTGAAATATCTTACCTTACTTGTCTTACCTCAAGGTAAATACGTATTGTCTGCTGAAAATAAGTCTTAAGATGTGGATTAAAATCTTACTATGGATGAGTAAGGTAGAAATAACTGAAGGTTAAAAATTCCACATAATAATATATAAATGATTATCATTAAACTCGATATTACCGAAAAAAAGTTATTGATCTACAAAACCGCCAATTTTACAGCGCATCTATTTCGCCCGAGTCGTGGAGCTTAGGAAGAATCATCCAATTGAGTGAATCATACGGAATGGGTAATAAAAATGGTTTGTACAACCGATGATATGTACTGAAAAATATATACATGAACATTATATACACTAAAAATGACTATTCATTTAAGATTTTTTGATATAAAATGGATCAGTTTTTTTTCCTTTTCCATGACTTTGCAAATAAATAGCGAGAAATGTTCACCGAATCTTACTTCAAGCTCGTTAGTAGATGGTGGACCACGTGGAAATATACTTTTCATCGAAGAACCGTTTGCTTCGAAGCCCCCCCGCGATGCAATCAAGTTTTTAGCATGGCTAAAACTTTTAGTCTGGAAATGGGAAAAATTCTGTCAAATGATAAAACTACTGGAACTTTTTACATCAGCTGGGAACATTCAGCTGAGCGAACAACAGAATCTCTCTCCTGATGTATCCGTGGTCGAATTAAACGCAAGAGCATACTGATATTTTTGAGGGTTTATAAACCAAATAATTTCCTGAATCTAAAAGTGGGAAAACTATTTTAACGCTGGCTAAGCTACAGGTGAGATCTAATCAATGCGCTTCCCCTTCAATTGACCACCGAAAATTTCCCTCAGCTGGAAGCCCAATACAGTAAAAAAAACAAGCACTGTTCTCAGTTTATCCTTATTTTGAACACGAAATGTTCCCGAACGTTTCCGATCTTTTTCCGAACTATACGTTACGGAGGTACTCTAGTGAGAGGGAGCGAAAGACCAAGATTCTCATGACAAATTCGACCAGTACTTGTTCCCTTGACTGCAAAATTTTTGCATGATCTTAGCTCAAGTTGTTAACTCTAAAGCAAGACCACACTTCAAATAAGCAAGCTGCAGAGTGAAAGCGAAAGAAAATACATAAAGGATAAGCTAAAGTGGTAATTGCCCTCCAGGAAGTCTCACCGTAAAACACCGTCTGAACTGGTGTGGTCGCAAAGTTCCTCATTTCGAAGAATGAATCCTGCGCCCACAGTGCAACATTCGTGGTCAGCAAAAACAGCGTTCCTTGTCGGACTATATTCGCTCCCAGTTCCTTGAGCGGTCTGAAACGCAGCGCCTTGATAAGAGCAGTAGCCTGTAGCATGGCTTGGAACAGAATCAATGTTGATTTAGCGAGTGAGAAATCCGATGCGTAACGATGATTCCTTATTTCGGCGATGGCAGCTGTGAGGCATAAACCGGCGTAGAGAAACATCCCTGTGAACGAAACTATCAAGAGAGTGTCATCTGCACCAAACGGGTACCACGTAAATTTTTGATTCATTAAACACCTCAATACTACCCAGCAGGCCACGCACATGAACACCAGCAAAATAATTTGGTAAAGGTAATAAAATTTAAGCGCATTTAGGGAGTCTCGGTCAACCCACAGTAAACCCACGGCGAGTAGCAAAACGATCGAGAACAAGAGACCAATCAAAAGGCCTGGGTCCGAGCTGGGGATCGCGTGCATGCGAAGTGCATCTTGATTCTCGATGCATGACTGACATATGGACGAGTTTGACATGGCTCTGTTCAGTGAGAAACGGCTGGAAAATCTGCCACTTGATACAGAATCCCTAGACGGTGTGGCGGCTTCGCAGGTCCCATATCCATGGTCATGTTCGAATTTTTCTAGTCGTTCACTAAGATTATCTGATGTCGTATTAAAGTCAGACAGCTCGTCATAGATATAAATATCTTGTGGGTCGGGATCAAGATCCCGCATCCCGCTCCACATGGTGTACAAAATGCCACCCGCGATTAGTGAATACTCCATTGTAAATGGATATAAATAAGGTTCGGACGCCTCCCAAATCTTTTTCATGGAGTAGTGATTTGCAAAGCAAGCGTTCTCTTCACGAGTGCTTAGATCTTCAAGTGATTTTCGCGCGCTGAAAATGCTTTTCGAATGGCTAAAAAGCGCTCGAAACCATAGGCACACGTTGGTACCAAGTATATGGAAAAGTACAAGTCGAATGCTCGGTGATTTATGAAGGGTGGCTGTGGCAAACTTTCTTAAAAATAGAATTTGCGCAAAAATAAACACAGCCTTGAAAATGGAGAAGAAAAGGCTGGATAAGTTGGATGAGCATTCGATATAAAATGTTATGTGGAGGAGATCCATGACACAACTTCCTGCGCCGAAAACGTAAGCACCCGCCATGAGAGGTCTGTGTGAGTGGGGCGAAGGCGTGATGAAGTCTACTGTCTTCCGATCGCTTTGTTTACAAAAGATGTAACAGATCCACAACAGAGCTGGACAGATACAGGTGATCAGGAACCCATCAATGTGGTCCGTTGTCACGCCGGAGTCGGCCTTAGAATCATCTTGAAGCCATTTAGAAAGATTAAATACCACCCCCGCTGTTGTTAGACAAATCAAGTACAATAAGCTAGCGATTTTTCCGTCTCCCTTTACGCCATCGTCCGGCAAAATCGGTTCCAGAACATACATGAGAGAAGTGACAACGCCACGCAAAAATTTTCGGTTTTCTTCATTTTTTGGTTCCTCTTTAGGCTGGACATTTCCGACGACTTTTTTCTCGTATAGTGGATAAGTTTCCTTCTCGCACCGCATGATGTTTAGTGTTTTTAAAGGTTGTTGAGCCTCAAGGTAAGAGGCCACACGGCCGCTTGTTTCTTCCTTCATGACGTCATGATGTACAACCATAACAGCCGGTGGATTGTGTGGGTCTTTTGATCAACATGGCTCTCTTATTGGACAGTTCATGAGCTCATTGTTGAGGAATCATCATTACTTCATGGCCCACTGGCTCATTAAAATTGGATTGGTTTCTATTGTCACAAAGCAGCCAATCAGAGCGCGAGGTTTAGGTCATGGATCAATGGAGCGATAAACTCATGAACAAAGAGTCAAAAGCAATTCTTTGATGGAGATTCGCCATTATTTTTTTCTTGGAAAAAAATCAAATGATTTTTTCCATAATTTCATGGTAAATAAATATCAGCAAATTAGTCCTTAAATTTCGCATTTATTTTCCTTATTTATCGGTCTGAACTATTTTAAATCACATCATATTTCGTAATATTTTGGATTCTAATTTTCCTTTTATAGCGATAGCGGAACACTCCCTGTCCAAAAATTGATTGATCATTTTAACAGAACCTAAACTTTATGCTCCTTGACCGAAAATAATCAAACAGCTTACACGCTTGAACTCATCTTAAAATATCAACAAAGACAGAAGTCCTTCTCTTCAGAAATATATGAAAACAAAATCTGATGAAGACATTCCAGATTCAAAACAGTCAACTGATTTACAAGACCTCTTGATTTCATTGAATTTTAAAGCCATAAATTTCGAGCGATTTTCAGCTCCTTTCTCTCCATTTTTACCTAAGCCTGCTGCAATATGATAGCATTTTGCTTTTAGTTTACCAAAGCGGAAAGAAAAATTACGTTATGGAATGTTAAACGGATGAAAATAAAGAGACAAATAAACCCATGAAGCGTGTAGGCTGACAAGGGTATTCAGTGAATTTTAGATAAACAGATGAACTAACCGGAAAATTTTCAACAACGAATCGCCACTTTCACACTCAGGGAATCGTTATTTTTCTGTCTGTGTGGTTCAAGAACCGTTTGAATTTCTCTACACTTCGCTGCATTTTCCTCCCAAACAAAAGACGTTAGCTTGCTCAGGCTAAGATGGCCTCTTTTTTCTCCGCTGCCATTCAGTTGGAACCTAATATTTCACAATTCTAAGCCCATAGTCATGCGAGGCTTAAAATTTCCCTCCTCTTCGTTGCCAGAATCTAATTATTTGTTGATCGAAAGCAGATTTTTTTTCTGTTTTCAAAGAATTTCAGTAATACTAGTCGGGGCCAAGTATGCAATTTGTCGAACCAGTTTGCTGGTAAAAACTAGAAAGGAAGAATCAGCTAACAGGTATTTTGTTTCCCACCCACTCCTCCTCGTTGTATCGATCGAAGGTCAGTAGGGTGAAATATGTTCGCGGGATAACCCCATTTTTATGGTTAAATAAATCATTTACCGTTTCTTTTAAATATATCAATTTTTTTTTTCAGTATATAAAGATGTATAAAAATTTCTTATATTAATGGTGTAATAATGATTTCAGGATCAGTGAAGGGATTGGGGCTGAGTTTTAGTTTTAATAGAAACCTCAGTTTCTTTGACGACTGCGGCTTCTTCTTTAATTTCCATTTAATTTTTCTCATCACTTTTCAGCTGGACTATAACTTTTAAAAACATTATTAATGGCAAAGAAATGGCCTGTTATGAATAAACTATTACTGCGAGAATTTTCTATCGTAAGCTTGCGACTGCATTTTTTTTTTTTTTTGCGTTTTCACTCTCATTTTCTTTAATTACGACCTTACCGAAGCGTGAGTTTGTCTAGAAGATGCGAAGTCGTTATTAGAACGTAAAAACAAGAACATTTGTCTCGTTAAATTGGAGAACGATAAACCAGACGATTCACTTACGTCATTTAAACGCCGATTGATAATCAATTCGACGCGTGCGTTTATGTTTTGATGATAATTGAGAAAAATAAAGGTTGCAATTTGCCTCTCGAAAAAAAATGCAAATTTCACACGCAGGCCAATATCATAATGGTATATTCTTTCATAAGAGCAAAATCCCTTGGCTTATTTGAGCTGAAATACGTCCATTTGGTTAATGAGTTCAGGGAAAGGATTCGAAATGGTGTCGAAAATAACACCCAAAACTGTCTTTACAAACAATATGTCTTCCCTGCTCCCCAGCGTTCGGCAAAAATTTGGATTTTCTCTACATAAAGGCCAAAATTGTATTCAATAATTATGCTGTGATCGTAAAACAACCTGTCAACTTAAAGTTATGACCGCTGTACATAAATTAACGTGCGTCAAACCAGGGAGACACAACAATTGAACATCAAAGGACACCAAAGTAAGAACCCGACCTATTTGAACAACTCGATCGGATCAACCACACTAAACACGTACTCTAAAATAATATTATCCGCTAGCTCTTCCCGATGAACGTTCAGAAAGGGTATTACCACGTTTCTACGACGAAACTCGGGAGAAATGTTCCAACGAAGACCACAAATGACAATTTTTCCCCATCGATGAGTAGTGCGTTTGCAAAGTGCTCGCTAACTTCGAGTGCTCCTCGCGCGGCTTACACAAAGTCATCTGTACAACCGAAAATTATGTCCCCGGTAACTAATCATTCGTTTCGCGATCAAAGGAGAAACTATGTGAGTGCATTGTCTATTATCCCGAAAGAAAAGATTCCCAAGATTGTGGTATTACCAAGCATCGATAAAGATATTGCTGTAGCGTCGGCGAAGCCGGTATCAGCTAGAGTTCCTGCTGTCACAACTGCTCCGGGAAAAAAAAGGAACCAGACGCCGAAAAGTGAAAAAGGAAGCCAGTCGCAAGCCAGATACATTTCATGTCTTCACACTTCATTGAGCACTGAATGGAGGAGAGCGAATAGCTTGGACAGGGAGAATTCTGAGGACAAGGAAAAGCAACCGCGGAGAACTTCTTCGCTGGAAATTAAATTCAGCTATTTTGGCAAGAATACTTCCCAATGCACGCCGACAACCAGAAGTTCGTCGGATGAAATACGTGACGAAGGAAAAAACACTTCACTGATAGGAAATCAACCCCGTGGAGAAAATAAAAGCGCTAACTTGTTTAATCGAAACATGGTGAAGGAAGTTACCGGAATGGAAAAAAACAATGTACGAATTCAGTATACTCCGTTGAGGAAGAGTTTTACGATTAAAAATGTAGTTACAGACGGGAACAGACGCGGAACATCTGCAAACGTGGTTCTTTCAACTCGCTGTCAAGACTATGAACAACAACGTACTCGAACAAGGATGCTGCCAAAAAGCCGTTTTCGAGTAAAAATTCAGAAATGTCGCCACAAAAGCGTCAATATTTCAGATTCTTTTAACGTCGTTCGAGATAAAAGAGCGAAACCTCTAGAAAAAGCGAGTCGAAGCGTGATCATTCAGGATAAAAGTCCACAGAGATCATTTTCTATCCAAAAGTCTAAGGCTTTTTAGCGTTCAGTAAACGTAGCAACTATCATGAGGGCAAATGTTTACGGTAACGCAAATAAAATATTTTCGACGACGTAAAACTGCGTTGAAGTACTTTCCAAGGTATTTTATTTCGCTAAAACTAACCTAAAGTAACTGAAATCGCATATTCGCAAACCATTATTGATTTGAGGATTTACCATGTCAAAGCAAAATTTACATGATGACTTGACAATCAACTGAATGGTGTGTTTGCAGAAATACAGTTCGTTCCGAATTAATATGACAAACTGCGATCGAAAGAAATGTTTTTATCAATTTGCCATCTAGATATTAGATTCAGTACTACCTCAAAAAAACTATTCTCTTACAAAAAACTTCGGCTTATCAAAGCTGCTGATAACATCGATAAATGCTTCAAAGCTTACAGCTTTTATCATTGTTCTGGTACGGACTTCATGGTTTTTCGCGATTGGAACCATTCGGCAATGTTTCTTTTTAACAGCACTCTGGTATTGTTTTTGTTTTTCGTTCATATTATCACTCCAAAACGAGTGCATTAGGCATTCCATTTTATTTTAATCAGGACCCTATTATGTGCAGCAGACATCAATTTAAGATTAAACTAAACTGTTCACTTTTAGTCCAAAATCGATATCAGGAAACAATTCTATTTAAACGAGGCAGTTATGTTTAATTTGTAAAGTATGTTGACGGGGTATTTCCATAACTTAAAGACCTAGATTGTTTTTCGTCTGCATAAATATACCGTAGTTGGCATATTACATCAGATGTTCGCCATGACATGTAGCAAAAATATTTTTAAAAGAAATGGCTGCGGTAAATCGACTGAGAGATAGATAAAACTCGCTTGTTCGAATTGAAAATTTGTAGCTCTAGGTTATAAAAATTTTAATGGTACAACATCGTAATTGGTGATGTTAGCTCAGTGGAAGAAGCACTAAATACAATTGTTCCCCAATGATGAACCTCCATCACTAAGCGTGTAGGCGCGTAAAGAAGTTTTCCTTCACTACGGAACAAAAAAACAAGCTGTGTCAATTTTGTTGCTTCCCAAATGACAACTTTTTGTCGCACTATGAAGCTTTAGTAAATAAGCGGACTATCAAGGACGAAATATGTGGCAACGGCTCATTCAAATTATTGCAAGTAATCGCTTCGGATAAATTTATTTGTAATTTTCGTTTCCTAGGCTATAAAATTCAAAAGATCAATTTTCTATGTTACTTGAAAAAGTTATTAACTTTAAATGTTAGATCAGAAAGTTAGGCATGTATTGTACGTTTCCAAAGTCCCTGAGGAGGAGAATTAAATAAAATAAAAGTTTAATCTCTTACCATGTCAACCTTCCTTCGCTAGTAGTTGCCTAAAAGTTCAACGGATTACTTGTGGAATGGGCAGCGGCGAAAAATAATCCATTAACCTTTTCACTCTCAAGATCTCATTAGTAATTCTCCTTACTGGCCTCCTTACAATTCTCGTCATTTTAGTTTGGAGAATTTGGTATTGCATCTATTAATAATCCCCTAATTTATATTTTTCTTTATTTTCATCACTTTTCTGCTTGATATTGTAAGGATATTGTAATGAGAAATTCTGTCTTGGTCAGTCATGAGATTTCTTAGTTAGCTGTTCACTGAACAACAAGGAAAAACAAAGAGAAGCACGCACACATCGCCGGCAATGGAAGATAATCGTATGAAAAACAATAATGATAATGATGATAATAATAATAATAATAATAATAATAATAACAATGTAATTATTCAAAATATAATATCTTGTATTATTGTAACATTAATTTTTTTGATATTTTCCATATTCGTAACACATACTCTAAGACCTCTAGGTTTTTCCTGATACTGTTGGTTGATGTCAGTAACTTATCACCAACAGCTGTCGGCCAGTAGCAATAGCAGTGTTGCATGTGTTTTATTATTGGCTGTCCTCAATCGAAGAAGGTGCCATCTTTGATTTGTATGGCCGAGAGTAATATGGTAATGTGTCGCCCCGGGATGGTTTTCCACCTGCAACCACCTGCAGAACGACAATGTGCTTCTGTTTCGTGTTAAATATGTTCTTTGTACCACCAAAAAAATCCAAATAAATTATCAAGGAAAAATACGAACATGGGAGTATCGCGTAAAAAATAAAAATGAACTGAAAAAAGTTTCATCTCCCGAAATCTCTATTCCCCCATCGCATCCTTGGTATTTTTCTGAGGTAAAGCAAATCTTACACAGCATAACTCCAACTTTTCTACTCATTTGCGTCAATTGAATAGAGCGCGGAAAACCACACTAGGGTCGTGTAAAATTCGAGGAAGTTGACGTTATTAGGTGATCAGTTGTAAAAGAAATAAATTTTAATGGACACGTCGCACATTTTCTCTCTCTAACATTTCACATCTTATCTGACCTTTGCTAAAAGAAGACTAGGGAAAGGTTAGTGGGAGTTGGCCATCTACACAATAGTTTGTTGTAAATGATTAATTGACTGAAAAATACTCTTTGAAAATTATGCAAATAATTTCGGCTGACGATTTGCATGATTCCGTAAAGTAGCAGTCACGCTGGTAAGGGAGTCATGTGACACTTACACTGTGCGCACTCCACAGTGCTCAAAGCTGCGATATTTAATTTATTTGTTTTAGTAGTAACCATGTTATGTCTACGAGGAGTTACAGTCTTCCAAATCGACTCGATATTGTCTTTTTCAACGAGATATCGTTACAATAGTACGGAAGTCGATATACCGTTTTATGTCAATCGAACGGAAAACCACTGCTACTAGAAAACATATGACTGGCCGGGGTGAGATGTGCCTGAAGTTATACACACAACTTGGAGGAAAATGCGACATGATAGATGGTCATCTTCAATATCCTGATATACGTAATTAGTCTTAAGTTCTGTATCGACAAGGACAACTTGTCATGACAAGAATGTTTTGCATTTTCAACCTCTTCGCACAAAAGCATAATATCTTTAACTGGATTTTACATGGGACTTTACTGGAAGCTGCAAAACATCGAGGATTTATACCTTGGGATGTATATAGTGATATTCAAATGCGTTTAGATGACTATGTCAAATGTTTTCAAGTTGCAGCGAAGGATTTACCACCAGACAATTTTTTTTCTAAATTCAATTAGTGATCCTGCGTTTCCAAGTAACTATTTCATGTTTTCACAAACATGAAATAGTTGGTTTATACGAAACATTATGGAACCCAAGACTATGAGATAGAATAGCTGTTGTAATTATTGTATTGCACACGGATGCAATTGACATCTTTGTCTTCCCCCTTGTGTTAAGATATGTATATCCTTTGAAGAGATTACTATTTGAAGGGTTTGCAATTTCAGTTCAGAACAACTAGAAAGATGAATTAGTGTCTCAGTTTGGCAGAGAGTGGTTTAAATTTCCAAAAGATAGAACTCCAGAAGAACATCCAGATGTATTTAATGGTTGCAAGAATCTAAAAAGTTTGAACACAAAATATTATTATTTATAATTGATTTTGCATACTGTATATACAGATAGGACTTATGATAGAGAATAATACACTGGTTTTGAACATGTGGGTTTGTCCCTTCTTATGAAGAGGTACAAATAAAAGCAGATATATTTACAAAATAGTTAGAACACCCTTATATGAAGAGGGCTGTCATTTTAGTAGTCAGGGCTGTCATTAAGCACCAAAACCCGTAATGTTGTTATGGCTGAGCACACCCGGAGTTGTAAGTGAAGATGTCATTTGCTTTGGTTACACCTAGGCAAGTATCATACTGCTACAGGTGATATCTCCTATGTAATGGCTCCTTCAAAACTCAGTAAAAGCTCTGAGTAGCCACTTGTAATTTGCAACAAACAGCATTATTAACAACTTACCAAAAGAAAAACAACAGTTTAATATGCACTCCACATACCTAGATGTGCTCAACAATCCAGAATGTTCTAAATGACCAGATAAAATCCTCTTCATAAATAAGTATGCATGAATAACTCCAAACAGGTAAACAGTGAAACATTCTAGAATGTTCTGGACCATGTACAAAAGGTGTTTAGCAATAATTCAGGATCAAAATTATTACAGTATTTTTTGACTCCTCTTGAAATAAAATGCTCACAGGGCATATACTTTAAGGGGTTTTCCCTTAGCATGAGACAAAACTGAAGGAAAAATATAAACAATTAAAACTGTCTGCAAAGCCACAAAACTAATAAAAATTTGTTGGTTAACCCTTGGCTAGCTCAATTGTGCTTGGAACAATTCAACCCTGGAATATTTTAGAGCATTACTCTATGAGATCAACCTTCAGTCCCCACCCTTCATCCTTTACATCATCCTTACCCCAGGGGCCACAGTATTGACATTAGTTTCTGCACCAGTCCAAGTCCCAGACCCCCCAGGTTGAGAGATCCAGTTTTGAAACCTGGCCAGTGTCATTATATTGTGTTCTTGTGCAATGCACTTCACTCTCACCGGGCCTCTCTCTGCCTTGGAGTCAGGAACGTAAATTTGTTTTATTTAACCCTTTAACTCCCAGATCAAATTTGTAATTCTCCTTACTGTCAACCATATAATTCTTATGATGTTAGTTCAGATAATTTAGTCTTGGATCAACTTATACTCCTTAAAATTAAAATTTTTCTTTATTCTCATCACTTATCTGGTTGATATTGTATTGATATTGTAAGGAGAAATTCTGTCTTGCTCATTCATGAAAGTTAAAGGGTTAACTGTCTGGGAAGGGTGACAAAATGGTGGACTGGCATCCTATCAAAGGGGAATTACCACACTCCTAGTCCCTTCATGCAACAGAAAACAAGATGAGTTTTGGCAGAATAGAACAATTGGTTCAAATGCAAACTTAACCTCTTTTTATCTACAAAACTGATGTCTCTTGCTCTTAAGCTTTTCACTCTCAAGACTTGAATAATGCTTCTCCATACTATGTAAAGTACATTTCTTATGTTTGCAAGTCTTCTTGATATTTTTCTTCTCATCACACTTGGGAGAGAAAATGGTTTAGCCCCTAGCTTAGCTCCCATTCCCTCCCCCCCATGGGATGGAGAGCATTTCTGGACTACTTGTCTTTTCTCTGCATTCCTTCTTCGCAAAAATCTTCAACCCCATGTTTTTTTCAGGCGATCAAACAAATAGATATTGAACATATATAAAAAGTTTATTTCAGTTACTCTTGTCCTCAAGGAATTTAAACTCACTTGGACTGCACTATTTGTACAATGCCTCACTATGCCATGAACTGGTATAAGGAAGTCAGTGATTTTCAGCAGAGTGCTTAAAAAGTAACCAACAATAAGTCTTCACTTGATGTGGCTATAACAACTTGGAACCTTTACATAATTAAAGAAGTATCTTTTATCCGTCAGATTCTTTTAAAATACAAAACTACAACACTGTTACATTTATGAAAATGTCAATTGGGACGAAGACATTTACCAAAATTCAATGAAATGAGGAAGGATTCAAAAGATTATGTTACTAATTTCTTGGCGTACTGAATTGTTGAGATAAATTATTGGAATATATATTCATTCTTACTTTGCAATCAAACTTTCTTTGTTTTATAGGAATACAATCTTAAAGTTTGATGCTTGTCTACTTGAGTAGTTAGTCAGTTTTTTTTTTCTCTCCCAAGATGAATACATGACTGTATTGGTCAGTTTACACGCAGTTTTCTTGTTTTCTATCATTGAAAAACCCAATTCGTCCTGAAAATTTGCCAAAATTTGGCATCACGATATACATGAATTATATTTGTCATGTGTTTGGTTATTATGCTATTCTGGTAATAAATTACTTGAAAACTTTTAGAGGAATTCTTTCACTTTTTTCTCATTCGAGGTTAATAAATAGACAGTCACAAAAGTTTAATGTATGTTCTGCATTGATTTTTAGTTCCGACTGATCAAGTATTCGATCAGAGATGTTCGTTATTTAGATCCATCTGGACTCGTGTTGTGAAAATTTGCGTTACTTGACGTATCAATTGTGTCACTTTCAGATAAGTAAATACCGTGACAAATAGTCAATCTTTCCCGGCTAACACCGATTGTCTGTTACCGATCAAGCGATGTATCATTGATATTCAAGCGATAAATGGAACCATCTGAATTTATAACCAGAATGTTCACTTCGGTTCACGTCGATTCATGTTCAGATAGTGCCAGTCTAGTAGCGTCTCTCAATGCATAGACTGTAAGGCTTGGGACATAAACTGGCACCAAAGATTCCTTCCAAATCCGGGGCCTTTGAGTCGTGTGGAACACTAAAGCGAAACTTGTGTAATAAGTGAGAAATAAACAGGAAAAGTTGAATTTTCCCGAGTGATTCGGCCAGACACACGCGTCGTCCGGCCGAAAAGGGCAGATAACTTAGAGTTCCAGGGCAAATAAGTTTGCCATCGTCATCTAGAAAACGTGAAGGATCAAATACATGTGGCTTGTCCCATTCCCTTTCATCGTGATGCATAGCCCAGACATTGAAGAGCACAATAGTGTTCTGAGGAATGTCAAATCCATTGAGATTCGTATCAGTTGTTGTTGAATGTGGGAACAGTAACGGGACCAGAGAACTGTAACGCAACACCTCATATATGGTAGCCTCCAAATATGGCAAGTTTGGCTTATCTGACATTTCTGGCAGGCGCTCCCTCCCTATTACGTCATCCAATTCTTGATGGATTTTCTCTTGCACTTTAGGATTCAGAGCTAAATACGCAAGCGCCCACAGCACGCATGTGGAGGTGGTCTCTAGGCCTGCGCTGAAGATATCGTTCATGGTTAAAACCACGTGATCTTCGGATATTGGTAATGACCTTCCGGGATTTTCAGCATGAGACTCGTGCATGGCTTTAATTAAGGCATCAGTGAGGTCACGCGTCACGCAATCTTGATACGTGTTCTTATGCTCGTCAAACTTCCTCTGTAAGATGGTGTCGCGGTCTTTGACAGCCTGCTTGATGAGTGTTACCCCCTTACTAGGAAAGTGGCGTAACCACGGAAAATAATCCACCAGATTTCCAGCTCTGAATCCTTGAACAAACTGCTCGTTGTAGTGGAGAATGGTGTAGAACTCAGGATCATCCAAATCATAGCGCGAACCGAACACGAATGCGCAGATGATGTTTATCACAGCCAAGATGATGTCATGTTGAGGGTCGTGCGCGCGCCCTTCGACCGACTCAAACCGTTTGATAAGTTCGTTAATCTCCTGACATGCTTTCTCCTCAATGGGCTTGATACCTTGCCCAAACATTTTCAGCGCGGAATGCGCTATTTTTCTCTGCAATTTCCATGTGGGGGTAAAGTCACTAAATGCAATGTCTTTGCCTCCTCGGGAAATGAGATCCGCCGTGTAAAGTCGCGGTCGGCCTGCAAAGTCGTTGGCCTTCTTTACGAGTGCTTCACGAGCAACATCGATGGTGTTCACAACCACTATCCGATGAATCCCGACAGTAAGTCGAAATATCTTGCCGAACTTCTTTGCAAGTTTCGTTAGGCCAAGATGCGGTTTTGTTCCCATTTGAAGCATGTTGCCAATGATTGGGAGAGGAACTGGACCAGGAGGGAGTTTTGGGTTCTCCATTCGATGTGAAAGTACACTGTATAAGAGGGCAGCGGTTATGACCAGCGCTGCAAGAACTATTAACTCCAACGCCATATTTCTGCTCGGTTTATCTATAAAAGATAAACAGGGACCATTTAGTTAACAATTCAAAGGTTCTCTTTGGAGAAATGGCTTTTGAACATGAGAACGGGAAAACTGTAAAACCTTTGTATTAGAGGACTCACGTGTCAGAACCTTGCCCCCTGCTGTGCAAAATGATTTGGCCAAAGCTGACAGCTCAATGAACCGCTTAGTCAAAGGTAAATAACAAATGAATACTTCACAAAGAGGGTACGTGGTTTAATTCTAACGTCCTTACAGGTCGAATAAAACAATTGCGCCATATTTCGGATAACACTTGTCACTCGTTAAAGTGGTTGAATACTATACTTATGTAAGTGTTAAGCCTCACACAGCAACCCCATAGACCCACCCTTCCACAGTACACCACTTAAAAGACCTTCACGTAGCCTCGAACTCTTTATTTTTACATTCCTGCGATTGCAAACTCTTCCATATGCTTAGGAATGCGCTAAAATGATTACTGTTTTTTTCGACGACTGAGAAAATGTTCATTGGGTTTTGGTACAAAAATATCGCCTTTAAACATATGAATTGTCTGAATCTGTTTTTTGTGTCATTCGGCTGCTTTTTCGAGCTACTGTTGAGCGCCATAAAGGAAAGTTAAAAGCCTGCATGTATCGCAGAAAACTTTTTTTTCAATCAAAAAATACCTTCAAGACTCTTAGTATTTCTAAAAAGGCCCGGCACTGATTCAGACCGTGGGGTGGCGTCTCCAGATTGATTCACTGCGTAAGCAGAGACATAATATGTCTGAGAATCACATCAACTGTTTTTGTTTGTGTGACACTGAATCAATCGCGCACAATCAGTGTTTTGAGCAGAACACAAGCCTTGTTCAAACAGATAAGGAAGCATAAGTTTACAGTAGTATTAGTACAGCTATCTATTTACAATACACAGTAATTACTGATCAGAATAAAGAATAAGACACTTGGCTAGTTATTCTAATTAAGAAAAACCGTCGCGCAATCGAGACAATCAAATCAGATGTGGGTAAATCGTTTTCATGTATTCGGGGCGAAAACGAAAAGCAATGACAAACGAAAGATGCTTTGAGAAACAAGAGACTCACTGATTTTGATTTAGAATCCTCCGCGCTGAAAATGTCGATAGCCAGAAGCAGAAGTCCACGAGGTTTACACTAAACGACTGTGCGAGAAAACGGAGACTGACTCTGAGTACTCCCGTGGGCCGAATGGGTCGGGCGTGACTAGGGCAATTTGGTCAGTTTGTCTGGAGAAGAGCTTCAAGTTTCTTATGAAGAGTTTCAGCACACGAAAATCATATAAAACTCGCGGTTTAACTTTAACCTAGAAACCACTTTTTACCACAGATCTAAGTAAAACCTCCACTGCTTGGATAAAACTTATTTGCATGGATTAGGCACACAATAAAAGTACGCAGTCAATGATAAACAGACTCAAAACAGCACAATAGCCTAAAAGTAGATTATAAAGTGCTTTCTCCGAATATACAAGCCGAGCGCACTACTTTGCAAAGCTAATTAGACAACGGAACAAAGTACGCAGCTAAAGTACGTAAAAAAACTGTCAAGAAAGTATCGTAATTAATCCTTTGCACACTGTTCAATGAATCTCGCCAGGCGATTAAGCCATTTCCTGGATCACTTCCTGAAAGACTCTATTTCGCTCAGCGTGCGCCTTGTTGTTCAATGACAATATAACATTTGCGTTAATGTAATATTTGCCACCAATGAGCAACTGATATGTGATTTATGCATAACCGATCATGGATATAACAGATACACGTGAACAGACACACAGTCTTTTGTAGTTGGATTTTATCAAGATTAAGACCGCGTGACAATCATTTATTGTGTCAAAGACAAAACAAATCCACTAGATTCTACATCCCTTTGAGTCAAACAACGCTATGGGGTTCACGCTCCAAGGAGCCCTACCCTCCCCTTCCAAGTGGTTGTGTCTATTATGTTCCCCAAAGCTTGATCTTTATACGAACCGTAAGTCTTTGTTTTTCACTAAACACTGGAAAATCCGTTGGGCAATAATTAATAAACACCCCCTCAAAGCCACGGTGTATTACCTCCATGATGCCTAGTGTGTGTCTTAAAATCTCTTAACGTCTACAATTGCACCAAATCTAAATCATATGGAATTACTCTGTAATACTTTTTTATCACAGCGGTTCTCATGTTTCTCTCATTACTAGAAAGGATAAAACTTGACTTAAAGCCAAAAACTGTTGGAGCTGTTGATAAACGACCTCCGCGAAACCAGACCGGAATTTTCTAACAGAACGCATTGAATCGTAAATTATATCACTAACGGAAAGTTTCCACCGCAAATAGATAGTTTCATATTAATAAAACATTTATTAAACGATGTGAAACATTTATTCAAAAAGTTCGAAATTTTGCGTTCATCTGCTGGCATCAAACCAATGGTTTTTTCAGAGAATTACCGTGATGAAAAGAGATCTAGAGGGCCGGCCACTTTCATTTTTGCTCATCAAGAACTAGTCCAGGAAACTGAGGAACATCAAGACTTTTCGTATATTATAGAACATGAGCTAATGCTGACGGCTGACGAAGGGTTGACGCTGGAAACGTTAGCTTTAGAAACTCTTTACGGTGGCCAATTTACATTGACAACTCAGTTGATGAAAACAAATTATCTTAAATTACCCCACGCCGACGCCAGCATCACAGTTTCTATAGAAACTCACTCCCTTTATTCATAAAAAATATCACCCATTATACAACTTTAAGTACTTATTACGCCTCAAGAACTTATATTTAGTAACATTTCGATAATTATGCACTATAATGGTAGGTTTCATCAGTCATTATAATAATGTTGTTATTATCCTGACCACAGAGTGTCGAAATAATGGGGTCCGTGGTTCTCTATTGTCAGACCTAGTTCCGTTACGTAATGACTTCGTCGATACTTTGATTCTTTGAATAACTGGCTCAGTGGATGATATTCGCTACTAGACCCATTTCACCAGCAATAACTTGTTGCATAGCTAAAGGCATTCATCTTTAGGCGATAAAATAATTCGTACCATGCAAATTCATGCGTTTTTTTAATCCAGGTAAAACTCATTCTACATTAGCACCTGCCTTACTATCCATATTTTCTCATTGACGCCATATTTTCCAAAAATGATAGGAATCCAGCGGGATGGCAGTATACAAGAAGGTCTTGAGCCGCTCAAGATTTGTTTTATGCCCGTGCTAAGCTGCGATGGTATTCAGCGAGAAGACTGAGGTGGCTGCTCACGTGTGTGCAGTTGTAGGGTCTTTTAATGAATGCGAAAGCACTTAAATCGATCGCAGGAAGGATAAATAACCCAAATCACTCAATAAATCGACTACTTATGGGCAAATAGAGCATAAAAACACAATTCAGAAGCTAAGCAGCCCATATAGATGATATCAGGCTTGTAAATCTGTTAAACTGCCTGCCTCATATAGTTCCTTCTTGCGTAAAACCATCAGGCTGAGCATTTTTACTCAACCGTGGCTCGCTCGCCTTGGTACAATTAAATCGAATCGCACTTACCCCTTGTTGATCATTTGATACAATTTGAAATGACCGCCGAATTCATGTTTTGAATATAAACTTTGGAAAAAGTAACGGTAATTACTTAAGATTAGACATTACTTACAGAGTTTTAAACCTCAGCCGTATGCGCGATTAAGTGACCAAGACGCCAGTTATGGACTTGACGGACAAAAAGCTTTTGAGTTCAGCTCACCTTGAAGTTATCAGACTGCAATGCCCGCGTGCTCGTATGCGGTTGAATAAATTTCGATTGTGATATTTAGTCTTCAACGGATGTTAAGAGGGTGACCATTGAAACAGGCTTTGAATAATTTTTCAAATTACTGGAATGTTTTTATAGTGTGTTTTGGTCCATATGAAATCAGTAATGATAGCAATCTCACAGCAGTGAGCAATGTATCAATGTAACTATATATCAGTTTACATGAAAGGATAAATAATAAAACTAGGGAATTTTGCCAAGAGAAGGATCTTTTCGCATGTGCAAGTTTGGACAAAAGCGTTGGCCGACTGATAAAATTGAACTACTCGATGAAAGCTAACGCAATCATTTGCATTCTCTGAATATTTTTTTGACTTTTTGGGTTGTTTTACATATCAAAAGCGTTCGATTACGAGAAGCAAAGATCTTTAACTATAGAGATATGATAGTCCACCTCTGTTTACGTTAAAAGCAAATCGTGCAAAATCCCATAAACCAAAAACACGTGTTACCAACCTTGTAGGGTAGTGTTTAATACAGTTGAGTGAAGGCTCTTGAAGTTCCTTTGTGTTTCGGTATTTCAGCAATCTCTGAGCCTCTTTTCTTCTCTTTCCTGAAAAACAGATACACTCGCACTTTAACCCACCCTGTCTGTCTGAAAACAGGCGTTTGTAACTATTTTGAGACTGCTAATGACTGCTTTAGTCTCTCCAGAAGTCAGAACTCTTATACTGCTAAAAATTAATGCAAACATGGATATCCGTATTACAGCCATTCAAGTTTTGTTAATTGTTTCCTGTCTCGTAATCCTCCACAAAGGAAATTGGCAGGATCGTGGGTGGGAAACATACGGAGAAAATTATCACGTCTCTTGAAACTCTACGTCCTGTGTGGGTTACTTTGAACTGTGTGTAATTGAATTTAGGCGGCGCTCAGCGGAAAATGCGAAAACTTATTTGTAAAAACGGTTCAAAATATTTTTAAAATTGTTTGGCTTTCACCACAAGAGACTATCAAACTATATTAGCTTGCAATATCGTACAGAAGTATTAACGCTATTTCTGTATATTTGTATCAGAGTTCAGACTGATTTGTTAAAGTTAAAGAGTTGACATGTATATTCAAATGCGATCGATGAGTGAGATCCGAGTACTTCTCTCCTCTCAACGTTTCATACTTTAGACTTGTACGAGGACTTTGATTTCTGCAACGCTTTGGTAAATTATTTTGTGACAGAAAAACCTGCTTTCATAAAGAAGGAAATATTTGAAATAAGACTACCAGGCAGAGGTATTAGGACCTTAAAGAGGTAACTGAATTGAACGGGCGATCGAGAAGATTGAACCGGAATGTTCAAGTAAAAAATTCTGGGATAAAATTGTAGATTAACTGAACTTAGCAAGACAGTCCAACCTTCACGTGGCCCTGTCAAAAAAGTTTATTGAACTTTTATGAGCAGGGTAAAGATCTGAAAAATCATCCATGTGCCTAATGTTTTCATGTGGGTTTCTTAAAGAGAGCCTTGAATATGCGTGAGTTTTAGCAACAAAGAACAAAATTCACTGAAGCAACCAATTGAAACTTAAGTCGCGAGGGATTATGAAGATTAACCAGAAATATCTCTTTTGTCCTCATTGTTTCAAACTTTGTTAGTTCTTTTGTAATGAAATTTCACATTATGACAAAACTTTGCAATAATACCTAAAATAGCTATATAGTAGCTATGTAAATCACGATAGCTGAACCAAATCACGCAACTGAAAATTGAACGCTTTCGTGGCTCGTTGCATGATCTTGTTAATCCCCATGTGATACTGCAGCTGAAACGGAGAAATATCTCCACAAGAAAAGGGACAAAAGTCTGCTTAAATTTGGGCTTCGTGCCATTTTACTGTTGGTTCCATTTTGCTTTGTCAACAAGTCAACTCCAAGGTCCTGATCACGTGTTCCTTCCACCTTCGAAAAGTGTCTCTTCAGAGAGCGTATCCAGCGTAAAGGAACTGGGAAACTTTAACGAATCTTCAACGTTTCTTTGTCAAAATTTAAGTGATCCTACATTTATGTTCTCTATACTTTGCAAGGTCCTGAAACTTGTTTGAATTAAACAAATCTTGCGTGAGCAGCTTGTTCGTTTGTCGTGATTTTAACTGAAGAAGGCGGATGTTTGAATGCTAAGCTTAGCACAAATGTCACGAATGTCACGCATTTTTCAAAAGAGCAAAATAAATTTTAATCTTTAATCCATGTTAATCCAGTTCGCTATCATCCTCTTTTCCTGTGGGCGCTTTTTATTGTGTGATAGACAAATATTTTGATTTTCTCTGTTTTTGTTTATCATTATTTCGACTTAAAGGTAATCCGTTTTCTGAAACACAGAGGGCAAAGTAAATTTTGAACGTGCAATAGATCACATTCTCTGAGAACTTATCAAATCACGAAATACTAAGTTTGATTCAGTTTAAAATCACGAAGCCTCGTTTACGAATTTTAAAGTGTCTCCTCTCTCAACTGTTAACCCTTTAACTCCCAAGATCAAATTGTTAATTCTCCTCTCTAATTTCTTCAAAGTTCCTTGTAAATGAGTTACGAGACTTTGGTGTTAGATCAAGATAGCAACTTCCACCTGATAAGTTGGAGTATTCTCTTTACCTTTTTTCTGGATAATGTATGGATATTCTCGGGAGAATTTACATGTCAATCACCTCCGGGAGATAAAGGGTTAACATGACTAATCAAATCTAACAAATGCTATCTATTTGTGAGAACCAGAGATACGAGTTTGGTTAAATGACGTACAACCGTTCACTAGATTCTAATGATGACGTTCCCACAGGTTGTCAGACGTTAATCACAGACCTCTTTACTGAAGATGATCGATTGAAGGCAATACATTGAAGCATTCCAGCAGTGACTCAGCAGTATCCCAGCTAAAACCATGCTTAGTCATTTCTTATCCATAACAATACAAGCGGGTCAATTTATAATAATGGACGGTGCAAAGAGGAAAGCTATTAACGGAATGAGTAGCCCTTAACGAGTTAGATGCAATATGTGGTTCTGCCAACTCATCTGAAATGCAATATGTAATGATTTTTTCATGCTTAAAATGAGAGTAGATATTTTTAATTGCTTAGGACAAATAAATAAACTTTAATTTAAATTACTATTCAAAATCCGAAGAAACTCAAGGGCCGAGTGCTTTTGCCTTTAGGCAAAATGTCTGGAGCTGCTCTGAGCCTATGATAGACAGGTTGGCCATCAGGAAAACGAAAAAGGAGGTTATCGTGTATTCGTCATTTGGTCACAATCTGGTAGTAACCTTGATATACACTTGATATCAACTTAAACCATCCCGGAATAAGCAATAAATTTAAATGTCGTTTTTTTTTTTTTTTGGACGAAAGAGCTGAGAACTTGTCATTTCTTTCGTGTGAAAAATGTTTCCCACTAAATTATAATGATTTATTTTCTATCGTTAAAAATAGTAATCAAGTTCTAGCTATGAAGCCTCATTGGCTTAAGATTTTAATTCATTCAATTACGACAGTTAGTCAAACGTCCAACATCGATCATGATTGCCGCAGCAAGCTCCTCATTCTTAATTGGTAATTTCCTCTTCAAGTTCTTACTAACACCTTGGTAATCTTGTGATTAAAACGGTTGTACTTAATGTGTCAGTCTCGCTGTAAAGAAATTAAACGAAATCTCCAAAATAGAACCTTAATTTAATTAAAATATAGCGCTGTGATTGGAACTTTTTATGTAAATTTTTGGTTGTGATTTTGCAACGACTGTACAGAAGATTTGGCTCCATACAGTCCACGGGATCTTGAGGTCATGTTCTTCTCTTAGTGATAAATAACTTGATCAGAAAGTTGTTGAAGTAGTTTGGAAAACGTCACGAAATTTTTTGCGTGTATGAAGAATGGGCCAGTATTTTTTCATTAATGATGTAAAAATAGTGAAAAAGTTCACAAATAAACGCAACAGAAATTCAATGAGGGTTTTCAACTACTTTTGTTTCTATTTAAATCCAGTTCGTCCTTACGTGACTTCAGATCTTTGCGTGTGACAGACGTTAGGACCTTTATCAACCTTATCAGTTGCTGAGAAGCACTGACGCAATAAAAGCACGTGCACTGTATAACCTGCACATGTGCTGAGTTCGTATTAGTAAATAGTCCTCAATAGCTCTAACTATCCTACTGATTAAGTGAGCCCTTCAACTCCCAGAAGTGATTAACAAGTAACTTTTTCCTATTATATTCATACAGTATTTAGCAAACAGGTAACGAGAATACTCAAACCTATCAGGTAGAAGTTTTTATCTTGATCTAATACCAAATTCTTGTAACGAATTTAATAGGAAATCTGTAGCAGCAAGAGAGGAGAATTAACAATAAGATCT